TTGAGAAATATTTAAGAAAAACTTTAATGAAGAAATGTACCCAAGTACATATGCAAATTTTTTCATATGATATTATCAAAGCAGACTTTTGGATATGATATAGTTGAGCCAAAAACAGATTATCTTTGCCTTTAAAGCCAACTGATATATATTTCACATTTTATTCAGGCTAATTTTTTTCCACAAGTAGACAAACAGAAGAAAATGGTATAGGTTTTATGTTGCACATAGCATGACCACAGTAAGAACAGTTATTCAGCAGGAAATTTTTTATGCACTAATATATTCTTGTTAGCCCAACAGGAGTTTTGTTCTATCACCCCTCAGTTCATGTTCTTCAGGAATTATGCCTAGAATAGTTACGTAAAAGAGAGGAAACTGGATGTCAAACATTAGGGAACGTGTAGAGAATCACCTCCCTACTCAAGGGCTGATGTGTTTTGGCATGTTAACTTTTAGCTGAGGCCTGATGGAATCTGAGATAAGATTCAAAGACAATAATACATATATATGAGTTATTCTTTACTTTAGTTCTTGAAATTATGGAATGAATGATGTATGTTATATTTTTGAACTTTACTTGTTCAAGTAATACTAGTACTCTTTATCTATAGTCAGTAATGGCTAAATTTTTTTTTTTTCAGAATTCAGGTTGGTGAAGATGATTTAAATGGCAGATTCTGAAAAAGAACTAACTCTAAAAGGAATCTGTAATCCATATTTCAAATTTTTTCAATAGTTTAATGATCCTATTTGAATAGACTTTTTCAGAATTACTATATAAGGAATTTTAACAGATTTTCACTAATGCACAGCTAAATAGATTACAGTGAGGTCTGCAGCGGCTTTGATAAAATAGCTTAAAAGTTTGTAATAAAAATGAACCTTGGCGATTACTTAATTTTAGTTAAGAACCCATCAACCTACTGATTCACAATGTGGGGTGGGGCAAGTGAAGAATGGAGACATTTTGGATTGGGCAGAGGGGAGTGAGGAGAGGGGAGGGGATGTGGGGATGGGAATGGTGGTGGAATGAGATGAACATTATTAACCTATATACATGTAGGATTGCATGAATGATGTGACTCTGCATGGTGTATAACCAGAGAAATGAAGAGTTATGCTCCATTTGTGTACAATGAGTCCAAACGCATTCTGCTGTCATGTGTAACTAATTGGAGCAAATGAAAACAAGAAAGAAACCATCAACCTCATATTTGCTAGATTTACAAAATTGTTTTTTAAATGCATTTTGTCTTCTTTGACATTATTCAGTTGAATGTGGTAGAAAACCCTCATTTCTGATTCAGAGCATTTTAAAATATTATCTCTGTCCCCCAAAATAGAAACCTTTCATTATACTAAATATAAGTTTGTTAACCCTGTTTTTCAAAAGGGCTACCATTAATTGCACATAAACATGAATATCAGGCTGGGGGTGTAGCTTAGTGATAGAGTGCTTGGCTAGTGTGCACAAAGTCCTGAGTTTGCTCCCCAGAACCACAAAATACCCTCTCCCTTCAGTGTTTCCTGTCACATGTGAAATACCCTCCCCCTGTACTGTTTTCTGTCAAAATTCAAACTTATCAAAGTAAAAAAAAAAAAATTGTTCACTGTGGAGGTTTAAAAATTTCTTAGCTTTCAGTTTGAAATTATTTATTGACCAGGAAAATATGCAATAATTTGCTAAAATTGTTTTTTCTACCATATCAAAGTACATAGTTCATGCCTTTGCTATCAGCAGGCCTATAATGAGTAGATGTGATGGCTCACAGAATTTTTAAAAGGGAGTTAAAGGAAAATGAAGTACATCCTTTGGGAGATAAACCTAAAAATGTTCCTATTTAATATTGTAAAATCTTTACAAATGAATATCATAAAATTATCTAAGTTTCTTTGTCATAAAAATAATTTTTGTTTAAATGGTAACTGTTACTTGCATAGCTAAATTTCTTCAATTGGCAACCTAGACATTTTATAAACTAAGAAATCTTAGACAAATTAATAATATTTCTGAGTGTATTAACATTTTAGTTCTATAACATACTATATGGATGTCTTAAAATTCTGACATTCTATAGTTTGTATTAGACATGCTGTTTTTATAATCTTTTACTTATGGGGTTTTTAAATGTATTTTGGTCCTGAATTGTTAATTTGATGAAAATTCTGCTTTTAAAATCATCACTTACTAGGTTCTAATAAATAAATATTTAAGCTTGAAAAAAAGAAAAAAAAAAGAGTCATAGCCCACCCTCAGGGAAGTTAAAGAACTAGAGATCAAACCCAGGGCTCACACATGGCAGGCAGGCAAGTATTCTACCATTAAGCTACATCCCCAACACCTTATCTTTTATTTCTGAACATGATTTTAAAATATTTTAATTTAACTCTTTTATTTTGAACTAATTTAAACTTGAATAATATTTGTTTTCATAAAGCAGAAATATAAATTTTAAAGTTTAAAAAAAAAAAAAGGTGGCTAAGGGCTGTGGCTGTATGAAGTTCAGTGTTTAGAGTATGTGCTTAGCATATATGAGGCTGGATTCAAACCCCAGCATGGAGGAAAAAAACAAAAAAACTGATGGCCAACAATACTGCTGCTGATTCTCTAGACACTGCCCACAGGATATTTTAAGGAAACTTCTCAATAGAAAGGAACATATGATGTGACCTTGAGAGCAGCTGTTTGAAGCCATCCTGAATGGTTGTTGGCAAGCCTGGCTGTCCCAAGTTTGTCTTTCTGTTTAGAAATATGAATTGCCATTTTGCAATCAACTATGCTCCTTAATTGCCATCATGCTTTGAACAAAGACTGTGACCAGTTGGACTCAGACACCATTGAATTCCCTTTATTATATGAATTTTGGATTGTTTGATTTTGATCAGTTTGGTCTTTGGTCCTTGGATACATCTGTTAAGGAGAGTACTTTGAAATTTCTTCATATTATTCTCCGGATAGTCATCATCACAGTCACCCTGAGGTGCTGTATGCCCTCAAGAATTACAACTATTTCTATGCTTCCATTCCATGTACATCAAACAGTAAACCAAAACATGAAGAAAGCATAATGAATCATCCAACTAATTTGTCCTCCCCCCCCCCCATTTTTAAGATCAAGGGTGGGGTTGTGGCTCAGTGGTAGAGCGCTTGCCTAGCATGTTCGAGGCCCTGGGTTCAATCCTCAGCACCACATAAAAATAAATAAATAAAATAAAGGTATTGTATCCAAGTACAACTAAAAAGTTTTTAAAAATAAATAAATTATAAAAAAAAAAAAGATCAAAACCCAAGGACATTCAACCACTGAACTACATCCCCAGCCCTTTTTATTTTGAGACAGAATCTGACAAAGTTACCCCAGCTGGCTTCCAACTTGCAGTTCTCCTGCCTCAGGCTCACAAGTCTTTGGGATGACTGGAATGTGCCACCACACTCAGCTGGTAATACGTCCTTTAAAACTGAGAATTCCAATTTAAAACCATTTAGACCAAATTGGTTAATTAGGATGTAACAGAAAGTGTCTGTGTTCAAGGTTTCAGTCAATCTCTCAAAATTAAGAGGCTGACCGAAAGGGAAGAATTCTAAAATTAAATTTGGCCTAAAGCTGTCTCTGGGTGTAAGGAACGATAACATTCCTCAATATGTCCACACTGGAACTTGAGAGTATATTCTTGGAACAAGTTGCTGAGCAGCAAGCATTCAGCCTGACACATGCTGCAAACTGCTCAGAAATGTGCACCCAGGGCGGTTGAATGAACGGTAACCATTCAAGATATTTCTTCATATCATTTCCTTATTGTATCTGTAGATACTGCCTGCCCACCTTCTTAGGTGGATCTTTTTGAACCTTTACTGATTTAGGTAGTACCTGCTTCCTGAATCATTTCTTTCTGCAAAGAAACTGCTAAAATGGACTTGTCTAACATTTTCTTTTTAATAGGTTTTCGCAAGAACTAAGAGTTATAGTTGGCTTTCAGGAGAAATTCCTTAATGCCTTTAAGAAAAAAAAAATCTATTTCTGATTCATTTACATTTCAAGAATAATTCTCACTGCAATACTCTGCTGCAAACTGACAGTGTGCCTCCAGCCCAAGCAGGAATAGTCCCCCAGTGAGGACCTGGTTGTGTACAGAGGCACTGTGTCCTACCCAAGCAGGACTGAGGATCAGGGTGTGCACAGGCCCAAAGAAAGCTTCCGGTACAATAAATGAAGCCTGACTTTGGGCTGTAATCAAACTACTTCATGTGCACCTGAAGTGATTTCTTTCTCACCCCTCCCTCTCCCGGCTTTAAAACATTTCATAAAACAACTGTGGCTCAGAGTCTTTGTGATGCCAAGTGACCAGAAGTGACTCCTCACAGGACTCCCCTCTCCAGCTCACCAGTGTCTCCGTGATCAAGGGATGAAAGTGTCCACAAATAGTGAATTGAGGGGCTGCCCAGGAATTTGACCAAAGGTGCCTCCAGCCTTGCACTTTGCTCCAAGAAAAACTTTTGAGGATCTGAAGGCTTGGTTTCTATAGGATTGTGGGCAGAGTAAGACACATGTTCCTGGCTCTACCACTGAACTAGCTGTGTGATCTGGAAAGGGCTTTCCTCTGTGGTCTGTTTACTTCTCTGCACAATTAAGCAGCTGATTAAATTTGGTCAGGCCACCAGGGAGAGGAAATCCCAGAATAATTTGGGGGTGTGAAGGGCCGTGGCTAAAGACCTGGGCAACCCCTTTGGTCTTCCAGTGCTCTGGGGAGACCCGGCAAGGCTTGCTGCAGTTGGCAAACATGTTAGGTAATCAGTTTCGCATTTCAAAGTAACCCTCCACGATTAGAAACGTGCCCGTGTTTTAGATAATTAAACGGAGGCTCGGAAAGACTAATAAAAAGTGCCCAAGGTCACACAGTGCGCGGGTGGCAAAGCTGAGACTCCACTGGGAAGGCCACGTTCTCTGCAGGGCGCCTGCTCGCGCGGGGCCTGGGAGGGTCGCAGCCCCAGCTCTCACCAGCCCCAGGAAGGTGGCAAACACGATCACGGTGGTGAACCAGCGCAGCACGTTCGCGGCCCGGCTGCTCCGCGCGGACACCCCCACCGTCTTCGGCTCTGTCCTGGCCGGGGCCCCGGCCCCGTGGAACTCCAGTTCCATCTCCAGCTTGGCGGCTCCGGAGAAGCGGTTTTGCTGCCGCCAAGCTTTCAGGTGCACCCTGGAGCTCTGAGCTCCAGTCCCTCCAGGCCCCTAGGTCCCTCCTGGTGCGCCTCCCTCCGGGGTTCGTCTCGGGTCAGGTCCTGGCAAGTAGGACTTTGGACTGCAAGCCTGGTGTGGGCAGGGAAAGGCAGCGACCCATCCCGTACCGTTCCGGTACAGGTCACAGAGCGGAAAGGCAGCTTTTTGCAAGCCAGGATCCAGCTTCAAACCCCACAGGGCTCTGGTTGCCTAGGAGACCGGAGGACTCAGGTGCAACATCACACCTAGGTGCCTCCTAGCCTAGGGAGCCGGAGCTCCAGTTTCCCAACAGGTGAATCAAGGGGAAAGATGTCGCCTCATCCTTTAGAGCAGGTACCTTCCAAAGAACTGCAAGGTGGAACCTCATGTCCTGGGGAACGGAGGGACCCCCAATGAGCTTTCCCTTAATTTTTTTTTTTCAAAATCCCTGCCCTTGTGCCTTCTTTTCCTGAGGTTGTTCGATCTGTTGTTCATTTTTCACTCCACAAATATTTGTTGAACCTCTACGAATTTCAGAATTTGACGTTAGCCAGATTTACAGATAGGAAGATTAAGGCACAGAGTAAGTAACAACTTGTTCCTGGCCAGTCAGCGCAACAGTGTCATTTATGGTGGTGTCGCTCAAGAAACAAATCCGTGTCCAAAGCTGCAGTTTCAAGCCCACACCTGCCCTAGTTCCTGCAGATAATTCTGGTGTGGTAGGGAAGTGGAACAGGGCATTGATTTGCTGTGATTGCTGGCTGAGTAAATCACGCCTGCTGAGAAGGAAAGGCTTTCTCTTCTTTATCCAATACCAGCTTTGTTTTCTTTTACTCTTTAACCAACCTGACCACAACCTCAAAATATGAAGTACATGTTTGCCTTTATCATCTCAAATACCCTACTCTAACTGATTTCTTCTTCTTCCTGTCCCCATCCACTGAAGCTCCCATACTATAAACCCTAGTCTTAGCAACCCAGAACCCAACTCTCCAGCTTCATCCTTTGGGTCATTAAATCCTTCCCAGTTTACCTCAGAAATATCTTTTCAATCTGCTTTTAATTCTCCCTTTCCACTACCTTAATTCTCAACCTTCTCATTTCTTGCTTGCAAAAAGTTTCTGGTTGATTTCCAAATTGTGCGTCTGGAAATTTTCTGTGGGGGTCCTCTGGAATATCAAGGTGATGATAGATAACAAGAGTTTAAAAAGTAGAGTCAGGCAATCAGGGTAGAGGTAATAGTTTGAGATTTTATTTTAGGTGAAGCAGTACTTGTGAAAAACAATTATTTTTTCAGACTGGGAGCCAACTCTGGTTTTCATACATGCTAGGTAAATGGTCTGTGTAAGTTAATTATTGACTACAGGATTTGTGCTAAGATAGAAATGAAAACAATAGGCACAAAGGGCTATGGGAAAATGTGGCAGGGAAGAGTTCATTCCACTTGGGAGAGTCGCACAATGTTCCACTTAGAAGGTGACATTTCATCTGGGTCTTTGAAGGGTAAGTAGAAATCGCTACAAGGTATTTTGAGTGATAAGCAACTCTTAGTACAAATGTACAGAGAAATTCAAGGGCATGGAGCGTTTATAAAGCAGGCTCTGATAAATGCTTGGAAAATGTGCACACAGAAGAGACAGTTTCTACCTTTATACAATTCATAGACTAGTAGGGTAGACTAGTATTAAACTGTTACACAAAAGTTATGTGGCTTAATAAGTATAGTAATAATATGAAGGAAAATATAGTAGAGGCTGTTATTTAAGATACTTTATTTTAGTTTGGGGTGCTTGGGAAGATGTCTTTGAGCACAGTTTGGTGTCGTTGACAAAAAGTGTGTCTAAAAAAGAATGGAAGAAGACATGGGACACATAGGTTAGGTCCACACTGTAAAGAACTTTGAATGCCATAAAAAAAGAGCTTGGACTTGAGCAACTCACTTCTGTTGGCATGATGAGATTGAATACAACCAAAAAAGTTTTCTCAGAATATCAAGCTTCCTGATATTCATCTTTATCTCCTAAAACTGAGATCGTGTTACCATCTTCCATAAACCTGCCCCACGTCTGTGTATTCCCTGCAGCCACCACCAGGCACCTGGTCATCTCAGTGTGGAATCTGAGATCCTGCCTTGATGCTTCCTTCTTCCTGTCTTCTCCATTAGTCACCAAGTCTTGACAATTTTACTCTGAAGATATTTCTAGAATCTAGCCTCCTCTTCATCAAAAAAAAAAAAAAGCTGAATTACAATGAATTCAGTTTAAAGAATAAAATGGCCTTTATTAGCAACTGTAGAATTAGGATGGTCATTAGCAACTGTAGAATTGGGATGGTCATAGCAGAGCTGGGACGTGGCTCATTTATAGAGGGCCTGACCAGCAGTCAGTAAGCCCTTAGTTCTATACCCATCACTGGAAAAAGAAAAGTCATTGCAGCATTTATTTTTTAATTTAAAAAAAATCTGAAATAATACAAATGCTTAAAATAAAAAAAAAAAAGATGGTGACTATTCTACAAACATTGCCCCCTTAATGTCCCCTCAAAATACTAAATTTTATATTGTGTATATTTAAGCACATAAAAATAAAAATTTTCAAATGAAAGTAAAAATTTAGGTCCAGGGTATACCTCAATGGCAAAGTGCTTGCCTACTTTCAAAAACCCTGGGTTGGTTTGATTTTTAGCACTGCAAAAACAAGTAAATACATACACAAACAAGTAAATAATTGAGCGATTTTTTTAAAAGTCTTTTCAGTAAGATTCTTACAGACTAAATAGTATCAATAAATAATACAGTGAATTGAAAAAATACTCGATACTTCTTTAAGTTGCCTATAAACCTATGTTGTCAATGAGTACAGATGTCATTTCATATTACAGAACAGTGATACATTGAAGCAGATACATTTTTTCCTAAATAATTTTTGAGTTTCAATTACTCTATCCATTGTTAGTATTTTTGAAAACAATTTTTCCTTTATAATTTTTTATTCATTATTAATGTCACAAATTCACACAACAAAGTTTTATTGTGCAGAATGCTATTATAATGAAATTCACGTGACTACAAATCATTACATGGTGTTATGGGTTGCATAGGAGGTGTCCCCAAAAGCTCTTGTGTGAGACAATGCAGGAATGTTCCAAGGTGAAATAATTAGATTAGGAGAGTTGTGACCTCTTCAGTGGATTAGCCCATTTGGTGGATTAATAATTTGAATGAATTAGTGGGTGGTAACTAAGACAGGTAAGGCATGGCTAGAGGAAGTAGGAAGCAGGTCAGTTGGGGGTAGGTCCCTGGGGATTATATTATCCCTGACTCCTTGCCCTCAAACTCTCTCTGTTTCCTGGATGTTTTGAACAGAGAAACTTTCTGTAGCCAGTTCCTTCCACCATGTGTTCTGCCTCACCTCACACCCTAAGTATGGAGTCAATCAGCCATGTGCCAAATCTCTAAAAACATAAGACAAAATAATTTTATCCTCTTCTAAGTTGTTCTTATCAGGTCTCTTGATTATAGTAACAAAAAGTTAACACGTATGGCCAATCGACCCAACATCTTTCTTGCCATCTCTGTTCTTCTTAAAACACTAACATTGCTCATTAAAAGGGTAAAAATTATTTCAATTTGATTTCTGTTCATCTTCATACAAATGACCTTTTACACTGGTGGCAAGAGTAATTTTTCTCTAACACTGGATGGCTTACCATGTTTTGCAATTGTTTGTGTTATGCTGAATGAAACAAATCACCTTTCTGATAAGGGGGAAAAAAAGTGTTAAACATTCCAAAGGCAGTTTTCAAACTTTTCAGAATGCTATATCTCAGACATATCCTCAATCTCTGCAGCTTAACACCATGTTTCTTTGTAAAGTGGCCACTTAATCTTGATTGTTTCATTGCTTCATTAGAGAAAAACAGGTTAACAAAATAGGCATATTGTTAGCTATTAATTTGAGGACAAAGATATAAAATAGTGATACTTAATATTGACATATTTTATTTGTAATAGATGAACTATGGACTAAATAAGTGTATTTTTGTAGATGGATCAAATCACTATCACTGTGAATGCAACATCATAAATATAAAGTTGTCTCATATGAGTCACTGACTACTCTTAACACCATGAGATTGCCTTTGATGATTTTCCAAAATGGGTAACCATTCTTAGTAAAGTTTTAACTAAAAGAAAAGTCAACATTCTCTTGCATTACACTTTTACTTCCTTGGAAGTTTTGGCCTTTATTGAAGCTATGCGAAAATATCTTGTGTTTATATATATAAAAGAGAGAGAGTCTGGGCTCAGATCATTAAAAACAAACTTTTCTACTCATATGAATATTTGGCAGAGCATTCAGAAGTTGGAGAGCATGTGGAATGATCCCACACATTGTAGCTGCCTAGCATCTCTGGTTCTGCCCACTAAATGCTCATAGCAACCCTCAGTTACCATGGCACCTTCCCATTTTTCTGTGTCTTCTGAGAGCACTAGGACTGATATAACCACTGGTATAAAGCATCTGCTTGAAGCTCTGCAAATAGTATTTTCTCAAATGATAGGTGCCACAAAAGAGAGTGGTATTCCAGTTGTGTGCACTAAGATAAAATTCTTCTACGTTGCTTCTTGGTAAAAGTTCAGATATAATAGGAAATTCAGAAATACTCTTAATGTTCTTAAGCCCTTTTAAATTCATAGACATGGGATGTATAATGGTGACAGATGGTAATTGTTAGGTGGCAGAGCCTCACTTACCAAAAACTGTGTTTGCTCTCCGATCTGAAAACTAGTCTTTGTGTGGAAAACCCTGTGCTAACTAGTATTCAGTCTTCTTTAAATGTTTGGTAGAACTCATCAATTAAACTCTCTGGTCCTGAGATTTTCTCTAATAGGTATGTTAGTTAACTTTTCCTCTCTGTGACAAAACACCTGGGAGAAAACAATTAAAGAAGGATAGATTCATTTTGGCTCACCATTTCAGAGGTTTTAGTCCACGGTCACCCGGCTCCATTGCTGTGGGTCAGAGGTGAGACAGAACATCATGGCAGAAATATGGCAAAGGAAGTCTGCTCATCTCATGGCAGCAGGAAGTAGTGGTGGGGGGTAGAATGGGGATAAGATATGCCTTGGGTGATCCACTTCCTCCAATTAGACCCTACCTTCTGCAGTATTCACCACCTCCCAATAACGTCATCAGAATTTGAATCCATCAATGAATTAATTCATTGATGGGATCAGAGCCCTCATGATCCAATCACCTCCCCAAAGTCCCATCTCTGAATATTGTTGCATTGGGGACCTGAGCCTCTGGGGTCGCTTTATACCCAAACCATTCTGGGAGGCTTCTTTATTACTGATTCCATCTCACTGCTTGTTATTGATGTTGGGTTTTCTGTTTCTTCATTGTTCAGTCTTGGTAAGGGGTATGTGTCTAGGAATCTGTCCATTTCTTCTAGATTCTCAAATTTATTGGCATATAATTGCTCATAATAATTTTTAATGGTCTTCTATGTTTCTGTGGTGTTGATTGTAATGTCTTCCTATTCATATTTGATTTTATTTATTAATTTATTTATTTTAATTGATTTATTAATTAATTTTATTTTATTTATTTATTTCTCCTTTTCTTAGTCTAGCTAAGGATTTGTGTATTTTGTTTCTCTTTTCAAAAAACCAGCTCTTTGTTTCATTGATCTTTTGTATTTATTTAACTCTCCATTTATTTCTGCTCTGACCTTCATCATTTCTTTCTTTCCACTAATTTTGGGCTCAGTTTGTTCTTGCTTTTTTTTAGTTCCTTGAGATGCAGTAATAGATTGTTTATTTGAGATCTTTCTACCTTTTTGATAGGGACATTAATTGCTATTGCTTACCTTTTAGTACTGCTTTTGATGAATCTGGCAGGTTGTGATATATTGTGTCTACATTTTCATTTGTTTCAAGAAATTTTTATTTTTCATTTCTTTCTTGATTTCTTCCTTGATCCATTGGTTAATCAAAAGTAAGTTGTTGATTTCCCATGCATATGTATATTTTCCAGAGTTTTTCTTTACATTGGTTTCTAGCTTTCTTACATTATAGTCAGAAAATATATTCATATGATTTCTGTTTTTAAAATTTTGTTGAGACTTGTTATATGGCCTATCCTACAATCTATCCTGAAGAATGTTCTATGTGATGATGAGAAAAATGTGTATTTGTCATTGAATGAAAATTTCTGTAGATGTCTGTTCAGTCCATTTGGTCTAGGAAATTTGGTCAGTGCAATTTAACTCTGCTAGATTCTTTGTGGGTTTTCTATATGGATGATCTTATCATTGCTGAAAGTGGTGTATTAAAGTCCCTGATGCTTATTATATTAGAGTCTATCTCTCCCTTTAGGTCTTCTAGTATTTGCTTTATACATTTGGGTACTCCCATATTGGATGCATATATATTTAGAATTGTTATTTTCTCTTTCTGAATTGCCCACTTTATCATTCTATACTGACCTTCCTTGTCT